ATGAACAATGGGACTGCTAGAGCAGATCTCGATGGTCACGACGTTAATGCGTACGTGGTTTAAGCCTGCACACACTGAAATCGCAGTCTCGAGTCCTTTTCATGACTTGGATATTAGTCTGTGTTATTGTGCAGTGGTCTCAGATTGAAATAAAGGAGGAGAAAGCAGGTGCGGAAGAAAGAAGGAAAGAGCGAAAGTAAGTAAGAAGTCGAGAAAAGAAGGGGGAGAAACAGTGAAAGAAAACAAGAAGTAAGAAAAATTCACCATGAGATTCCGCTTTTCCACGATGAGATCAGGCTTGGACTAAGTGAATAATTTACCGTTTATAAAATTTAGTATCCTAGTTAAAAGATACCATCTTCCGTTCCGTACGGTGTTACGGACTTTCAGAATTTTGTCTGAAGGCTGTTTACGTTTAGCCTGATCGTTTTCCGCAGGCTGATTGCTAAACTCTCGAAATATCAGAATGGCAGCGGTGACGGAGTTCACATTGGCCTACTAATTTCCTGAGTATTAAGCCTTACGAAGCAATAGTCACAAGTAAGTTGCTTCTGTGTGTGTATGGCAGCAACCTATACCTACAATACGATGCACTGCCTTGAATTAGCGATTCCTTCTGCGTACAGTACATAGTAATGCTACTAATGGTGTTAGTGTAATAGAACTTATTCAGAGAGAAACATCTTCACACTCTGCAAGATATTTCCAACCTCTTTTAGTACTGATCGCTTTAAGAGCTTAAATTAGTTCTAGATTGTTTACTTTTCAATCAGCTCAGCTAGCAACGCTTAATATTCTGCCTCGTCTTAATCCGAAAAGAAAGAGGTGTTAAATGTTTAATACATTATCTAATCAGTATCGGAAATTCATATAGAACTTTAGCCGAAAAGTCTGTAGAGATTAGAGAACTTAAATGACATAGGGATAAATTGGAAGACAGTACTAAAATTGATATTCAAGAAATAAGTCGATTGTTCTCCTGTTCACTGTCGGGTCTTGTGGTATACTGTTTTGAACCTCTTGGTTCCATAAGAGGCGGAGAATTTCGTGACTAGATAAGTTACTGTTAAGTTCCCAAGAACTCTTCTCCTTAAAGTTGGGTATAGAATTGTTTGTGTATCATATCGAGCTATTGACTTTGATTGTCATAATTTAATCTGATCTTGACTTACATACATATGCTCTTTTAGATCTAATAAATACCGATTTTACCAAGCAAATTTTGTGTATTAAGTTATAAATTATTGAGATGCCTTTCTTTGGGGATCTATGTGTGATTAATTTCCCCGCATGTTTGGTCACAAAATCACTAAATTCTACGCAATCATTTTGGACTGGTTTAGTTTGAATTTGAGTTGTAACATTTGTAAGTGGGAATGAGCCACTATTAACTGTACAGGAACCCAGTCTTCGTTCCGTGTGGACAATAATTTTCCGAGAAGTAAATAGAGACGTGAGGCGTAAGTCCCGAAGGTCCTAGAATCATTATCGTAACCGGGTATTCTTCTTGAATTGTTTTCATGATTTTTTCAGGCCGTCAGGATGAACGCTGTCATAAATAACAAAATTTACCTAGTTTGATTCCTCCATTCTTATCTATCATCTAGGACCATGATGGTAACTTTCATTAGACTGTAGGCTACTGTACTGGGTAACTGTGAAGACGTTTTATATCCTCTTCGCATTTTTACCTGATGACGAAAGCAGTATCGAGCTTTCAAAACGTAATTTCATAATTGTATAATATAGACAATGGACAAGGTCTAAAAGAACAGTTTAACACATTATAACGCGTCATTGTCAGAAACCTTCAGACTTCGACAAAATACTATTTTGCTCCAATAAGTCAGACCCAGGGTAGATCGGAAAGTAAAGTGAGTTGGTAAAGGATTCATGATCGGAAATATGTTACCGGTTAGAACACTATTTTCTCCTTGCTGTCACTTCTATACCGACATTGAAACCTACTCATCTTCATATACAATTAGTATCGGAGGCTGTTTCTTCGGGGTTAAGGCATCCGGAGTGCGGGTCTGACGTCATTTGCTGCCCGGATTAAATATAGGTTAAGCGTTGCTACCACACGGCCTGTAGACCGTCATACCGTGGTGCTTAAGCACACGGACAACTTTACCTCTTTCTGCAATAAATATTCTTCAGTTTGTAGCCTGAACAAACTGTGAAAATATCACAAGGAAATGTAGTAAGGTCACTGGACCAGTGGCTCAGTGATAGGGTCTAGTTCTGTCTAAGTGACCCGCCACAATGTGCATCCCTCTCTCTGACCTTCATCTGATGACGGAGGCAAATCCAGTTTCCGAAACGTTGTGTGATTTTTAAAAAATAAACAAGACGATGGACAATTCCCAAAGTGACGGCCAAGCTTGTTTCAGCACACCATCGACAGAACTCTTTAGACTTATCACGAAGAATGATGTAAAAGCTATGTAGATGACTGTAAATGTTGATAACGTACAACACGATGAAGGAATTTTGGATACTTGCCTTGAAGATCAGGCTTATTTTAGAATATATTTTCGAAACAAAATAAAACAGGACTAGCCCAACATTTGCTAAAGGCTAATAGTTCTAAGGGAGGCTCGCCCAGAACACGCCTAATTATTTCCGCCGATCGCCTTGACATTTGTATCCGTTATAGGTGAAGTCACAGTCGTTCCTTTCTGAAGATTTCCCCTCAAGTCCTGTCTCTGTAATATGAAAGCGTGAACTATTAATACAAGTTTCGTCGTGGAGGGTTACGGAGTTAAGACCTGAATAGAATACGAGATATGCCTCGTTTGTTCGTTCTAATAAAGTACAAGGCTTACCTTCAATATGTTTCAGTTACTAGAACTTTTACAGATTACTTGTATCATCAGTGAATTCCGACATAATCGATCAAATATTAATCAGATACTGGATGAGATATGGAGTGCAGGGTTAGAAAAGATATTTATATATTTTAAGAAAACCTATGATTTCGTTAGGAGGAAAGTACTTTAATCAGTCTCACTGAATTCGTGAACTCGGTATATCAATGAAGAAGTTAGGTTAATTGAAATGTTTTCAAATAAAATCTGCAGCGAAGTTCATATAGATAAGTATTTGTCTGATACACTCCCTATTGATAATGGTCTGAAATAAGGGATGCTTTAGCACAATTATTTTTCAACTTTGCTTTGAATACTCCATCAGGTACGTCCGAGAAAATAAATAGGGACACATCAGCTTTTAGTCTGTGCTGATGGTTTTAATTTGTTGAGAGAGAGCATTAAATATCACAAAGAAAAGCACTGAATCCCGATTAGATGTTAGTAAGAAAGCTGATATAGAAGTAAATGCGGAGATGAAAAGCACATTCATGTTTCATCACCGACTTACGGAATAATTTCGTTACGAAAATGTAGCAAGAGTTCACATATTTGGTAATTGACGTTAACAAATATGCAAAGCTGTGATTTTATCTGTTTCGTATTGGTGTGAAATCTGGTATCTCACATTAAGGGTGCTTGAGGACAGGGTGATTTGGAGAAAATATGTTCTATAAGGGCCAAAGTGACGGAAGACAGAAGAGGAGCTCCATAGTTTGTATTTTTAATCAGATATTAACACTTCACGTATGTATAATGCAAATTGTAATCATGAAAACACAATAATGATGTGAGTGTTTGGAAACATTGTGAAAGATTAACTACATGTTTTTTAAATGCCAGAAACATAATTTGACACAATGCTCAAGTAGTTCCGTTGTTTTTTGAAGGACACAAAAGATAGCTTACCGTTCACTAGCAAATATGCCTCCAAATTATTAATACAAATATTTAATTACTTTCAAAGCCGTAGCTCTGCTACAAGTAGTGCAATTGGATTAAAATATGCATACCTTCTTGGTAACTGAACCAGACGCATTGAAGTCATTTTTCGAGGAATTACCAATTATTATCGGAGGTGATGTTTGCAGTTTATTGATTTTTTTGGGACTACTACAGCACTTACCTTCACGTATTGAGAAAAGTCATAAAACACCGTATTCAGAACATCGGGTATTGAGACCAAGATTCGAAGTCAAAACCTCCAGAATATGAAGAAGTTATTCTAACCACTCGAACTCAACTTTTGGTGGTATGTACATTTAATTCTTCTTTTGTAAGTGAAATTTGGCTGGTTTTAAAACAATTAATATTGCGAGGTAAATTGTTACAAGGTTATTGAACATTGTCTTCGTAATTAATTTTAAAACATTTTGATTTTCTGTATCCAACTTTAATACCGCCATTTTATTACAGAGTCGGACTTCTAAATCTGTAATTGAATAGCTAGAATAAACAAGGTTTAAAACAGCAGAATTATTTTGGAAGAGACTGATAGTATTTGACTTGCTTACTAATCGCAGTGACTCAAAACGGACCTCCCATAATGTTAATCCGTCCAATAACAGAATTTAACTACCACTTAAACTTCATTATCAACGTCTTGCATTGAAGATACTTACATAATTTATTGCATCTGTTTTCCCCAAACCCTGGAGAGTGGAATGGTGCGTAGCCTGAATTCAAGTCGTGCAGTCTTTTCGTGGTTTCATAGCGATTAGGAAACTGTTGAGATGTCTTCATACGCTCTCAAAAGATGGCTCTCCACGTCCAAACAGCATGCTTCCGCGGCATGTACCAGTGCTTCGCAAGTAAAGACTACATACCTCCAGCATAACACAAACAGTATTAAGTGAAATTACACTTATCGCATTATGCAGCCCGTGAACGTTCAACCATGAGCATCAAAAGTTAGGTTTTACAACTTTTTTTGCAGTAAGATTTTATTATTTTTATGATTGTCTTGTAATTCCTTTTACCGTAAAAGATTTCCTTCCAATGAGCGATCTACCTGAGTACACCGAGGCTGACGGTTGACCAATGGGAAGCGAGTTTGAGAAGTGAGTGGTTAAGACGCGGGGAGGGCGCCAAAAAGAAGGCACTGTTGTTCTAGTAGTTGTTCAGTGCCGGGTGAACGCAGTCGAAGGTCCGGTTACTACAACTTGAGGGTGTCAGCTTCGCTATTACGTCTTCACATGTGTGGAGGTGGTGGAGGGAGTAGTTTCTACCACTCCCTGGTGTCATCGGGAGCTCCCAGTGTCACATCTTGCTTTAAATTCCCTTCAAGTGTTACCTGTTTTCTGGCTGTCAACTAAAATAAACACAGGAGGAGAAGGAGGAGGAATTATTAAAAACGTGTTCCAAAGTGTGGATGAAAACAATTAGGCTGTTGAAACGGTGAATAAGTAAAATAAACGTGAGCTGTATGTGACCTATCCTTTCGTTTTATCACATTAAAAATGATATAGTTTAAGAAAGAGTAAGTGGCATTTTAATGACAGGAGTGAGATTGTGTGGTGTTCCTTGTGCTATTTGTTTGCGTGTGGGAGGATATTTTACCTTCTCGTGTGACTTATTTGGAGAACAAGGATTATAACGCCCCTCCCCCACACAACTCCGTACCATCCCCTACAACATGTTCACACGGTAAGATAGATATTTAATTATAATTTATTTAATTATATTCTTTCTTTTACAACAATAATGACTCGTTCACACTTTGGAAGAAGACATTGTATGAAGTTCTGTTGGTCACAGTTTATTTTGCTGGAATTTAATAACATATTGGGTGTTATCCTTTAATAAGTGACGTCACAACGAATGGTTTGTCATTTCGTAGTCATTTTTTGTTTGGTCTAAGTATGGTCGCATTTGAGTTACCGTGGATATAAGCAGGTAAACTGTATCACAGAGAACAAATAAAATATGTTTCGATTATTCCAAAATGTGAGATAAGAAAAGCAAATTAAATTGTGAAACTGAACGACTAGAAGATATTGCGATTAATTGTATCTACCAAATAAACACGAGAGTTATTTGGAGCGAGGGCTTGTTCAGGTTCGTGTCTTATCCATGCGCTAGGGTTTCCGCCTACACTGCCGCAGCAACAGAACGCCACCTTTCGGACACTACAGTGGCCACTGCGGCCTTGTCGCTCGCATCATGACACTGAAACATTACTCTGTCAAGCAATTCATCACAAGTATTATCCTGCTTGGGACTAATGTGCTGGCTGCGTCTATTTCTAAAATTATCCAACTTCTAGGTCAAAATGTTATTCTTTCTGCCGTGTCCACGGTACAGTTTGCAAGATTTAATATGCAGTAATATTAATGGTAAAGTTCGTGGTGATTAATTAAGCACTACGCCATGAAAGCGTATGAAGGAGTGGAGGTATACCTCTACGTATTCTTAACCTAGGTTCAGATGAGCGGTTTGTTTTACGTGCCGGCTAATTTACCTCCATGAAAGAGTCCCTGCTACTCATTGAACAGGCTGCTGGTTGAGCTCCAGAGCAAGTCGGGACGGCGTGGTGAGAAAAATATGCTCCTTCTGGAAACTAAACCTCGGTCTTCCAGACCTTAGCTGCTGACTGAGCTACACCGGCTCACGGGCTCCTGGAGGCTAGTAAAATTTACCCTTTATTTCCTCAAAGCGATGAGATAATATGGTTTTCACTGGAAGAAATTTTCTTTGTTTGGGATTCTAGAATTACGTTTTCATAGCTGGCACAATAATGCCGTCAATGCATTTTTTACTTTGTCGTAGAAATATTTTTGATGCAATAAAATACTAATTTTCAAATAAGATTTTTTACTGGATATAGGACATCGTGTGATCCATGTTAATTAGACATGTAACTTAAAATATGTCTTCAAATAAATGGTTTTCATTGCCCGTTTCTGCAAATCCAACTGATTTCGGTGTATTTATGTTAATGTATAATGTTTCTTGAAGAGAGATATTTACCTTACTAATTGTTGTGTTCATTGAAAAGAATTTAAATACTGGGCAATGTCCAGCACATGTTTTGGGGTTAGTGAATTAATTTTTTCAGAAATAATATTGAGGAAATTTCAAATGCAAATGCGAGGAAAGTAATTCACGAACTGTGAGCGCATAACTATAGAAATGGAACCTGGTTTTCGTCAGTCATTCCAAACAATGCCGGAATAATACCTTAAATAAGGCCACTATCCCTTTCTTCCATATTCCTTGCAATTCATTATTCCATAACCATGCAATTATTCGACGCTGTTTAGTATGAATTAGTGGCATGTCGTTAAATAAACCGTAAACAAATAAGTAAATACATAAATAGACGGAAAACACATAAACGTTCAGCCTCTGGATGAATAAGTGTGCAGAAACTCCGTTAGATACTACAGTCGTGAGACAAAATCTTGAAGTAGCACCGCGGATGTTTATAATTCTCGCATCTCTCTAAATGTTCGTGTTACGTCAGTGATGAAGCTATCTTTATTCGCACTGACCTTCACGTTCCCCGCTGAAGATGGTGACCTCGGTAATGAACATCATGGATCCAGCTAGTATGGGTTCGAGTCTTTCTTCTTTGTCTTCAGGAATTATGGTTTATCAGTCACTTACTTTGATAGATTGTTCACATTCCTTCAGAAAGGCAAATAAATTGAATTAAATTGTTCTGATAATGTAATATTACACATTTCAACTGGCTAGGAGAAAACACGCCAAAATATGTAAAGGTACTTCATGAAAGCGGAAATAAAGATAATTCTAGTGGTTCATAAATGTATACTTTATTTCACTTACTAATTCTTATTAAAATGTAGTCAATATGGAAAAGAAATTTAGTTAATTAAAACATTCACGATAAAACTATTACTTACTTATACTACAGTGTGATTAATAGATTTTTTTCTCTGGGTTTTTCTGTGATGCGTATCGGTTTCTGAAGATTAATCGATGATATCTGCTATGAGTGGGTATGGCTCCAAATCAGTGTGCACTATGTCACTGTAGTACTGGATTAAAAATAAGCAATTTTGAGCTTTACTTATTAGGTGGATTGTCCGTAAACTACTGTGCTAATTGTAACGTCAAAAGAAGACACCAAAGTTCTGTCTAACAGCCACGTCTGAAATATTTTACCGGATAAGACTCTTTTGATCCGAAGGAGAATATTTCTATGAGAACATGGAAAATTGCCACTGAAAGGGTTTCACTTACCTTGCCCTAATATCTTTATGAACCCAAGCTTTTTATGGAAAAGAAAATGTAATTTTACCAGCGAATGCCGTTTAGACTTGAGATAGCTTGTACTCCAGTGAAGCTACGTGATAGAGTAACTACATTTCTAGTTAATTTTCTCACTTTCCAGTAGTTGCATTACAATGTATTGTGTCAAGTAAACCTGTGACAGTATAACTAGGCCTAGTTTTATGGACCTGGATATTATAGATCTTAATTTTATTGAAAAATTATTATCCGGAGTTATCACGTGTTTCTCACTTCCAACGAATGGGAAGTTAGTTGTACGGTACTGCTAGGGACCTTGAAGAAAAATTGTATAAATTATATTTATTTACGGGATTTTATATTTAATGAACTTGGGTTCCAAGTTTTCGAAGATCACGAATTAGCCTCAAACAATGACATCATTTTAAATTTTTTCTGACTTTATCGCTTGATCAGTCATGAAGACAAAAAGGTTAGTTTACGTTTGAATTTAAGAGACAATCTTTGGTGAGAATTTAAAAGGAATTAAGACGTTTCTTTTTATCAAGAGCAGCTAATCTTATATGAAACCGATATATTTTGAAAGGATTTTTCTTTTCTGGCCAACCTAGTAAAAGTTACATATTGTTAACTTTAATGCCGAAATATGTGCGCGAAAATTACAGACCGCGGTGAAGACGATGTACTGGTAATGTTACTTGAGATGTAAATTCTTGTTTGCATTAACGTCTGAGACTGTTGAAATTTTAACTTACAAAAACATTTATGATTGTCGAAATGACTGTGGTGGATATCAAATGGCTGAAGCTATCTGTTGACAAGAACAGTTTTAGACTTACATTATTCGTAATTAAATACGTGACCTTCTGCTATGCTTAGAGAAATTTACATAGGTAGAACATATTTAACATCTTTTAAGCCGTGGAACACTGTATTTATGTGTGATTAACGTATCTTAAGTAGTTGATATGAACCAAGAACTGTAAATTATTCCAACACAGGAAGTACCATGCAATTTAACGTGGAAATCAAGTAATGCAACAAGATGATAAAGAATATACATCACGGCAGTTACGAATTTTGAATTTTGTATTTTACAGTGATTATAATTGTGATAACTGCAAGGCACGCTTAAATAAAATTAACCCCACGAAATATTCAAATTTTAAAGGATAATTATTTCTTTGTTAAGGTAATTAGATAAGAGTTAACATTTACGACCCTGTCTTGAAGTCTGCTCGATTTTCTTCATATAAATACTTTAAGGTATACGCACTCTTCATGACTTGATGATTGGCGGTGCTTAGGCTAATTATGTGCATGCATGTGTGGAACTTAGTTCCGTGTCTGCTGCTGCAGCCTGCCCCCGCAAAGTGTCTTGTCAGATTGCGACCTTGGGGAGCCGGAACAGACCGGCCGGCAGACACACAGTGCATCTTACGAGGCCGGCGAATGGCTTTCCGAACATGAGTAAATCCACTTAAACGGGTTGACTGTAGGTTGCAGGTTTGGAGGGAGTTAGTCTTTTAGACAAGTAGAACGAGATACCCAACGCATTGTATTAAAAAAAGAAAACCCCCCACAAGTTTCTCTTTTGTCTCTGCTTCCGTGAACATGTAATTTCTATCAGGAGCACGTGGTCCAAGGTGTTTCGGGCTTAATTTTCAGAGATATAGCAGAATTCAACTTGTTATAGTGGAACAAAATTTAAATGTAAGTCATGGTCACATATAATGTGTATCTATTTTTGGTGTTTTTTACAGGAAATACATTTTTAGGCACGAAAGAACATAAAGCGAGCAACTGAATTCATCCTGCTAACAACTAGTACGTTAATTACTGCAAACAAATAAAATTAATGAAGACTGTGAACGCATGACTGTACTTTGGCGTCTGAAATGAGTTTAAAAATATTCTTATGGCGTGAAAAATAATCTCAGAATTTTGTTAAAAATGACTTCTAAGTTAATACGTTATAACAGAAATTACATGTGCTGTAAAACCATAATATTGCGAAGCAGTGTATGCAACACAAACATTTTGATTCTTCTGTCATAACTGCAGACACCATCTAATTTAATTCAATCTATATTAATGACTAAATTACTCCATGGAACAGGATCCTTAGTAAGAAGATGATGTTCGTTTCGCTGGTCAAGTAATGGTCCACATTTATGGAGCCCGAAGGTTCATTATTGTGTTCATAAAACCCCACGCGGAGGCGCTGTAGAACATTTTGTAACATGTTAGTTTTTTACGGCAAGAAGTTGTTAGCACCCTCCCTGCCCCCACCCCCACCCCCGGCCCAAACCGCAAGATTGATGATCATTTTTTCAGCTGTCCGCGACGACTTACTCTGAAAAGTAGCGGAACCCGCGGGCAACTGCCCTTTAATTGAAAAATAACTTTAAACTAGGAACTGGTCGCAT